CACAGCATTGTGCAGGCTTGTGCTAAATTCGGTGTTTACGAATAGTGGCTGAAACCAATTTTTCCCAAGAAGGCGAGCCCCCCCCCCTTGCGGTACAGCTTTCGCTTTTTTGTTTTATGAGCCTCCCGTCAACCTAGTCCTTTTGACATCCCTCAGCGGCTGGTCGCATTGTTCAAAGCCAAATGCATTGCGTCGTCGAAGCGGGTGCGGTAGCTCTCGCCAGTTTTTTTCGAGCATCCCGCTGTACTCGATCAATTTATCCCAAGAGGGCGGCCCCCCCCCCCCCCCCTGCGGTGGCTCTCGCCACTTATTACGAGCCTCCCACCCACCAACTTTCACCCACTGTTTTGACATCCAAAGGTGTCTGGCTGCATTGTTCAAAGCCCAATGCAGGCCATCAGTTTTTCGGATGGCTAGGCTCTCGCTTGGCGTCAAGCCAAGTACTTTGTTTCTCGGTCTGTTGAAAAGAAGGTAGGGCCACTGTGGTAGCTCAGCTCCAGCCATTTGGTCTTGCACTGTCCGGTAAAGTTGTTGTTGTACGGTGGAAGTTTAAAACTGTTCTCACGAAATGTAAAATTCATCGAAAGCACTAAACTTTCTATTATGATGCTTTATAAATTTCCAACTAAAAAATAATTGAACATGACTTTCACCAGAAAGCTTTCCACACAAATACTTTTCCAAGACAAATCAAAACTATTCTTCACAAAAAGAGCTCCGTTCCTTTTATAACAGAATATCTTTCCTAGAAAATAACTTTCCCACAAAACTAAAGTTCCAAACAACGTACTTTGTTTTCAACTCCCCTTGCTCCCACTTAAATGATCGGGACCACAATCACTGATATCCCTAACGCGATGCATGCGTCGTTGCATGCATTGGGGTGATCCGTTCACTGTGTTAAATTTAAATCGAACCTGCTATACTACTCCTAAAGCCTCTACTTGTATGTAAGGCTTCAATTAGAGTTTTTGTTTTGTAGACAGCTGGGGAGCGTTTTCTGCTGCACATCCGGAGAAATGATCTTTCTTTTTCCTGCGAACCCCAAAACCCGGACCCGTGAAATTTAGCAGTTCCAAATGACATGCCCATTGGGGATACCTTATGCGCGACCCTAAACCCGATTTAGGGGGGCCCCTAAACCCTACACCCTAAACCCTTGAGTCTAGAGACCAAAGCTCCCGTCTCCTACGAGTCTAATAAGCGCGGGGCTGCGCTTTCCCACCTTCTGCTCGTCTAGTGCCTGCACAAGTGGGGGGGTCGAGCTTTCCAGAAATGCTAAGCCCCAAGCCCTAACCCTGAACCCTAAACCCTCAAAGCCTATACCCTAAACCACTGGAGCAAGAGGGGCTTCAACTTGAGCGGCCGTGGGCTCTTTCGGGGCTTAGCGGATTCAGGGTGTAGGCGGCTTAGGATTTCGGGTTTCAGAGTGTAGGGTGTAGGACCTGCGGTGCAGGCGTCGGAGTTCACGCTTTCGAGCCAAGTACCATCACACCACCTTCATTATCATCCGCAGCGTGCTCTGCACCAACAAGGTCCACAGAACACTGTAGAAGAACACAGCGACTAAGACTAGGAACCTGCTTTTTACATACAATGAGTAGGATACCCAGGGCCAAGGGCAGGGTATGTTGACCTAGGCGACAGCAAACGAAAACTCCAGGGGTAGTTTGTGGGCATTGTCGGGCCACTCGAAACCCAAATGCTCAAAACCCTAAACCCTAAACCCTAATGCGCAAGATCCCGAACCCCTTGACAAGGCAATCCGTGCAAGTTGCCATGAAAGGGACGCATACTGCTTGGCGTATATCCAGCTCCTTCAAAAAGAGCCCAAAGCACCCGGCCTGCGTAGCCTGAGCCGCCTAGCACGCAGAGCTTAGGGTTGAGGGCTTAGATCCTTTTTGGGTTTAGGGTGTAGGGTTTAGGGTTTAGGCTTTTTTTCGGTATCGAAACCTCGGATGGCTAGGGTCTTAAAAGCTAGACCTAGAATGCTTCAGAAACTTTTGGCCGACTTTGACAAGATCCTTAAAAAGGTTTCACGGGTTCGGGGCTTAGGGTCTGAGTTGTGAGGCTAATTACGGGTTGGCTTCGTTGGACACATGACGGTACTACTGATGTCCAAGCCAGGAGCACTGGAAAGACAGATGCCAAGCCTACATGATCCTCAGCCCAGTGCCGCACACTACATCTCGCAAGCCCTAAACCAGCAATCACATTATCAAACCCTAAACCCTAAACCAAAACCCTAAACCCTAAACCGGAAACTGCGGAGGGACAAACCCTAAGGCCCTAAGGTTCTCAAACCGCCAGTCCTCTTTCTGCAAATGCCCGGATCCGAATTGTTGGTCTTTGGCTTTTGCCAGGTCGAGCACTTATGGGGCCCGCATCAAGCTCACGTGGAGTGTTGTTGAGTTACGGTCCGTTATAGGCAGGCTCTTTCAAGTGGCACGCCGAACCCAAAACGGGTCTAAACCCTCAACCCAAAACCCAAAAGGGGCCCCAGAAAGCAAGGATCCTTTAATTTACAAAACCATCGGATCGGAGAGCCCTTCTTCAAAAACCCTAGTAAAAACCATGGAAGACCCTTGAACTTGTCTGCAAGATTAGGGTTTAGGGCTTCAGGGCCCTAAGCGCTAAACCCGGCAGCCCATTCTGAAACCCTAAAGACCCTAAAGCCCTAAACTGCTCCCTGAATTCACGGATGTCCTAACGGATCCCAATTTTGACAACCTCCAAGACGCTCTGAAACCCTAAACAGCTCCTGCAGGACCCTTACAAAGCTCTGAAACTTCCCATGAATCAATTCCTTCTAAAGCCCATGCACAGCGCTGTAAACACAATATGACATCCCATAACAAAAACTCGAAAAATCGCGCTTCAAGCCTGGAACGCATATGACGCCCCTGTGACAGCCCATGACTTCACCTTCCTTTCGAGTCGCCTCGCTGCCAAAGGCTGCTGGCCAGATCTTTTCCCGAACCTCTTCGTCCAGGCGAGAGGCCTCTCAGGTTTAGGGTTTAGGGTTTAAGAACCCTAAACCCTAAACCCGAAACCCCAAACCCTAAGCCGTAAACCCTAAACCCCAAAGCCCTAAACCTCAAACTCTGGGAATGATGGTCTATTCCTTACTATGGGTAATGCAGGATTTTATATCATCAACAAACAGTAGTACCCAGAGAGCCCAGTGCCCCTTTAATTAAGCAATGGAGCTTAACCTGTAACGGTAGTATTATGACATTAAGGTCTATTCCTTAATTACGGTGTATTGGGCTCTCTCGGTAGTGATAGCAACACTAGGGACAATGGTAATGATAACAGTTGCAAGATTGATAATAGCAACACTACTCATCACCATACCCCAATAATCACAGTAGTGGCAACTGTTAAATTAAATACGGTTGATGATATAAATCCTGCACTACCCATACTAAGGAATATACCATAATTCCCATAGTTTAGGGTCCTTAAGGTAATGCAGGATTATATCATCAACAGTAGTAATGTGAAGCATATCTCAAAAGAAGGAACGAACGGTGAGGCTTTAAGAGGCGAGGCCCACGCCCTGAACCCACAAACACTGAAACTAGGAGAAACCCCAGGCCCAAAATCCCAAACCCTAAACCCAAGCTCCGCATCCCAAACCCTAATCCCAAACCCGGTGCCTGAAATCCTGAAACCAGGCATGCGTGTGAAGGCATGGCGAATATCTTCGCGTTTAGGACTTCTGACTCGCGCTTTGCGGTTCATAGTCTTAGTTCTTGGGGCTCAGAACTGAACTCGGTCTTTTCGGCTAGAGGTGTTAGCGGTTAGAGGTTGTGTGATATAACCGCTCTGCAGAGAACTCTGCTCAATCCGCAGGCGAAGTCTTTTTTGGTCTCTCCCCGCAGCACGGCGGTCTGCAACCCAAGAGGATGCTTCCAAAAAAACAGAGGGAGGGGGTTTAGGGTTAGGGTTTAGGGTTTAGGGTTTAGGGTGGCTTGCCTAAGCATGAAGTAGTATTTCCTGCTACGCTTGAGGGGGTTAGGCCTACTTGAAGCTACTACCCTGGCTTTGCTGCTCTGCCCCTGTGGGCCCTGTAAGCAATACCGCCGTTGTTCGTTCTTAAGAGTATCTAAATCCCTACCCTGAAGGGTTTTTGTCAGAACAGCCTAGTTTCGCAAGTTTCGCATATGTGGATAGCTTTGAATGGAACCCCCCCCCCCCGACTTAGGGCGGGCTGCGGCTTCCGCCTGAGTCCCTGGTGCCTGCACTCAAGTGACCCGGCCGTGCCCCCGCAAGGGCAACTGTACCGGGCCGGTGCAGGCAGCACTGGGGTGGGGGAAATGCAGCTGCGTCCCAGGTGAAGAATACAAGCCGGAAGACTCTGAATTCTTGGAGAGTCTTGGCGTCGTGCATCTTGTATGTAGTATAGGAATGTGGTACCTCTGACTTGTTCATAATGTGTCTGTGACGACATTAATGAAAACGAAACGCACCCTATCTGCCCTCACGTGACCTCTTGCACATCCTGGGATTCACCGCCACCACCGCCGCCCTGCCCTCGCCTTGGATCGGGCCGAGGCTGGTTGGGGATCTCTGCCACCATGAGAAGGTCAAGCAACTCACGCAGCGAAGCTGAGCTGCTCGGGGTCTCTAGCAGGGCCAAGTTGTCTGAGCTCGGACCGAAAATCTCCTGCTCCACAAACTCAAGCCGACCATTTTCTGCCACATCTGTCAACCTGCTGCAAGCTTCTGCGAAGGACTCATCCGCGGGCTCCAAGAAGACGACGCGATCTCCTGGGAACACTACCTGGACTTTGAAGTAATCAGGGAGAAAAAAGCATTGACTTTTAATTTATAATGGTTCCTTTAAGGAACAGGTCCGAAAAACAAGTATTCAAGTATGGTACTCTAAAACTCAGCTACTGTTGTGCAGCGCTCTGGGATCTCCCACGCTCCCACTACCGGCCTGCCCGGCAGGTCCTTGCCGTGGATCACTGCCACTGGGCTGACCCCGTAAGTGTGACGCATGTTCATAAAGCGCAGCCTCAGGAACACCCGCTGAACCAGAAACCTATCCCAAAGCCTTCTTTCCTGACGCGCGACGAAGTCCAGGATGCTACTAGCCTGCAGTTTGGCGCATATCGCAGCAGGGGAATCTGTGGCAGGATATTCATAGCATTTCGCAGGAAGCCAGGCAAGCTCCGCTGTTTGGTTCCTGCTATAAACCTGCATGAATTCTTGCAGCTTCGCGTCAATGATGTTCACAGACCCTGCATCACTACTTGTGTACATCTTGTGGAAGGCGTTGCACAGTTGTTCCGGGCAGCTGCGCGTTGGGTCTATTGGCACGAGAGAGTCCAGAATCGGAAGGATCCAACACTCATCACCAGGTAGAAGCTTCTGCGTGGGGCCTGGGTAATGTATCACATTCCTGGTAACATGCTCCTTGTTTTTTTGCAGAATCCGAATCACCTTGACATGATAATCTCGCGGCAACTCCATCTTCAGAAGGGTTCCTTTCTGTTTATGCGTTTGCCGCTCCGACGCTGTGAACTTCAATGTGGGAATATAAAAATGACCTGCTTCAGGCCTTAGCTCTCGCAAAATGTTCTCCCATGACTGCCCCGTATCCCTCACCTGGTCCAAACAGTTCTGAATTCTTCGTCGCTTGGCTGGATCAAGATCATCGACAGCAACTTCAGGCTGCATTCGCTGCAAGGGCAGGCTGGCTGGAGCCTGACGCATGGCAAAGTCTGGAGCAATCCGAGTTCAGAATGAGATAACAAGTAGAATAGCCGTTCACATGACCAAACAACAGGCACGATGAAGGTAACAATCATAATGGCAACAGACATGATACTACCAACCCGGCCCAAACCCTAGAACTCCAACCCCTAAAACCCGAAAGCCCTAAACCCTAAACCCCAAATCTGAAACCCCAGTCTGCATGCTCTGAAGGCTTGAAGCTTTCAGCTCGCAAGGCGGAATGGCGTATTCTGCGAGCACACACCGAAGCAGCCAAAAAGAAAGAGCCTCAAGCGCCCGAAATCTGAGTAGAGGTTCAGTGTAGGGGCCTGTGATAATTAGAAGAGGGCTTTGGGATCCTGTATACAAAATCACTATAGTAGCGAACCCAAAGGGAGACGAATGGCGATGATTTAGGGATCTATATTGGGTTCTTTTCCTTACTTGGAGGTTCATGGGTAGTTATAAATGGGGTTATAAGTAGGGTAACTATACATATTAGGGGACTTATAACCCCACTTATATCTACCCATGAACCTCCAAGTAGGGTCTTTGCAGGCACTGAAATGGACACCAGGGCTTTGAACTAGGCGTCAGCCGACTCTGAGTCGAAGAAGTCCCGGTAAAAGCTTTAGAATTGAGGTTTAGGGTTTAGGGTTTGAGGTGACTTGGGTTTCAAGCAGAATTAGGGTTTAGGGCTTAGGGTTTGAGGTTTAGGGTTTAAGGTTCAGGGTTGAATGGGCTATGTTGTGGTGGTGGTGGTGTAACAAGGAGAACCTGAGGCATGGTGTTGGTAACCGTTTCCGCTTCTACATCTACAGAAAGCGGGGTTTAGGCTTTAAGGGTTCTAAGAGGTCTATGGAGCCTATAGGGTTTAGGCTTTTAGGGCCTTCTGGGTCTAGGATTTGGGGCTTAGTTTCTTAGGAGTTTAGGGTTTGGGCTTGGGATTCTCGGATTTAGGAGTGCCCACGTGCTTGCACCCCCCCACAATGTTTTCAGGCGCTGCATTTTGTGCATCGAGTCATAGAAGGACGTGCTGGCCATAAAGGTCAGATATGATCAACACTCGGCCAAAGGTCTTGCACCCAGCTTTCGGGGTAATACTCTAAACTCTAAGCCTCAAACCCCTCAAACCCGAAACTGAGCACCCTAAATCCTTCATTCCCTCAACTCCCAAGGCAAAGCCTCTCTTGAGCAGTGAAGCTGCATGCTGAAGCCGTAGGCCGTCCAGCCTACAGCCCCACCCGCACAAGTCCCAAGCCCTAACACTCCGAACCCTAAGCCCTGCGCCCCAAACCCGACAAAACTCTGCAACCCTTGATGTAAACTCTCTGAAGCTCAACAAAACACCACAAAACCACGTTGAAACCCGATACAAAAAGCTACTTCAAAACCACACCGGATACCGTCAGGATGCTATGAAAACCTTAAATGAACCCTAAACCCTAAGCCCTAAGTTAACCCAAAATTCACCAGAGCTGGGACCCCCTGCCGCTTCGAGGATGTTGTTCGCTTTTTCACTGAGCTCCTGCGGAAGTTTAAGTTTAGGGTTTAGGATTTAGGGCTTAGGGAGTCAACTTCGGTTTAGGGTTTAGGGTTGCTCTGGCTCGGGTTTCAATAAAGCTTATGCATATAGGCTAGAGTAACCCTATCATATACACTCACTTACTATAACAATAAACGACCTATAGTATAATTATATGCATTAATATAACTACATTTTACCAAAACATACTACAATATACTAGAATGTATTACACATACGAGAATACGTCACCACGTATCGTATCATAGTTGCTCTAGAAAGGCTCTGGTTCAGGTTCTCGAGTTCTATAAGGCTTCTATCAAGGGATTCATGGGTCTTGTAAGGGTCTTCAAGCCTTCTATAAAGGTCTTATATAAGCTAAGGGTTCGATAAGGGCTCTGTGAGAGTCTGTACCGGTTGCAGGGTGCACCCTTCTGAGAGCTTCGTTCTATCCTCCTAATGCTGAGATCCTTGAATACAAAAGTTTCTCACAAATCAGTACATGGATTGTTTTCAAGGGCAGCCTTTCATAAGGATCCTAAGCCCTAAACCCTTAACCTCAGCCGTGACATCCTACGGTTGATGACATAAACCCTGCATTACCCATAATAAGGAATATACCATAATTCCTATACGTTGGGGTCCTCAAGGTAATGTAGGATTTATATCATCCACGGCAGCATTCATCCTCTACTCGAAGAGGCCTTTTCTCTGCTTCGTTGCCTTGCCCCAACGGCCCGAACAGCTGAGGCCCCCAAAGGTTTCCTGTGAAGCTTAACTACGGCCTTTGGTCTAGGGTTTAGGATTTAGAGTTTAGGATTTAGGGTTTAGTATTTAGGGTTTAGGATTTAGGGTTTCGGGCCTAGGATTTAGGGTTGTTCATGGCTTGAGTTTCTTGGTGCTATGGCCCGTAGAGATGGGGTCCAGGAATTAAGCGTCCAAAGGCGCAGTATGCCCTAAAGAGGCCCGCACACGCGCACATCAAGACAAACACCTGCACCCACGGCCCTCCACCCCCAAACCCCAAAAGTCTATGAAACCCCATCCAGTCCGGTGAAGAAACCTAGAGAGCCCGAGTATCCACACAGTAAGATCCGCAGTGTACACTCGCCAGTATTCCGAGAAGGAGCCCTATGCACACTCCCGAGTACACACCCTATTCCATAGTCAATAGCCAATAGCCCCACTCCCTATAAAACCACATCAAAACCCTGCTGGAATTCTACACAAAGTCCTAAAAGAATCCTACGAGAATCTGGCTAAACCTCATACACTTTCTGCTCCACATAGTCTCTTCACAAATATACCCGCCAAAAACATTCCTGTTCTAACCATTCGACGGCCCTCTTCTTCAAAAACAAAGCCCCGCACACCCAAACACAATTTCATAAAACCTCTGAAAGCCTTCCTAGTATGAAAACCCTACTCTACTTATTGAGACGGCGTTGTGTTTCGGATCCGATGTGTTGAACCTGCAAACCATGATTACGCGCAAAACCCTAAACCCCTAAAACCTTGAACCCCTAAGCCCTAAACCCCTAAACCCCTAAACCCTAAACCCCTGAACCCCTAAACCCTAAAACCCTAAACGCCTAAAGCCCTAAACCCTAAAACCCCTAAGCCCTTACGTATGATATCCGCCCTCCCCCCAGGCCTCGGCCACTTTAGCCTCGAGCATTGGATCCTTCTCAGACGCTCTGGCCTGACAGAGCGCAGGGTTCAGGGTTTTGGGTTTTAGGGTTTAGGGGTTTTGGGTTTTAGGGTTTAGGGGTTTTGGGTTTTAGGGTTTAGGGATTTTGGGTTTTAGGGTTGTGGGGTTTAGGGCATTACGGTGAAAGAGTGTAGGTCATGGAGCTTTGGGGTTGTTGCGCATCGGGATATTTGGGGCTTTCAGGCTCTAGGGGTGTTGTGTTTCGGATCTCGAGTTCGCTGACTTAGGGTTCTTTAAAAGGGGTCTCGAAGGGTTTACGAGAAGGGTTTAGGGTTTAGGGTTTAGAGTACTATAAGAGTTACATAGTGAGCCTAGGGCTTTCGAGGTAACGAGCTGCGTAGTTATGTAAGACCTAAGCACTACGCCCATGAGAGAGAGAGAGGGAGAGAGACACGTATGTGTATACACATACATACAACATACATAGAGCCCTAAGCCCGTAATACACATTTCTAACATTTCTTATAGTACAGTACCGTATATACTAACATTTCTTATAGTACAGTACCGTATATAGTATAGTATAGTAGAGAAGTAGGGAATAGAACCTGTTCAGAATGGAAAAGTATAGAACAATATAGAAGAGCAGAGAACAGTATAGTAAAGCATACCACAGCATAGACTAGCATAGGAAGGGCTTGTTGCGCGGGGTCATGTTCCAAAGTGACGTTGATGGCTTTAAGCTGAGCCGACTTCGGCAGCAATAGTGGCACTCGGGACGGTGACAATTACGATAGCCATGAGGACGCATCAGACTTAGCAGGAACCTCATGATGACCAACACCCTAAACACATAACTTCGGAAAACGCATAACGTTGGAAGTTGGAAGTACCTCCTTTGACAGCACCCCTCTTTACGCTTCAAGAACAACTCCAAGCCCCAAATTAGACTACGGGTTTGGGGTATGCTTGAACCGTGTTTATAAACGAGTCGGGACTTTCCGGGGAAATTTTTACGCACTTGGATCTGAAAACGGTTGGCCTTCTCCATGTCCATGCCGATGAGTTCGTCGAGCATTAGCTCCTTTTTCGCTGCATCTTTTTTAACACTGC